ATGTTGCTGAGGCTGACCTCTAGCACTGGTCAGTACTGTTATGTTGCTGAGGCTGACCCCTAGCACTGGTCAGTACTGTTATGTTGCTGAGGCTGAGCCCTAGCACTGGTCAGTACTGTTATGTTGCTGAGGCTGAGCCCTAGCACTGGTCAGTACTGTTATGTTGCTGAGGCTGACCCCTAGCACTGGTCAGTACTGTTTTGTTGCTGAGGCTGACCCCTAGCACTGGTCAGTACTGTTATGTTGCTGAGGCTGACCCCTAGCACTGGTCAGTACTGTTATGTTGCTGAGGCTGACCCCTAGCACTGGTCAGTACTGTTATGTTGCTGAGGCTGACCCCTAGCACTGGTCAGTACTGTTATGTTGCTGAGGCTGAGCCCTAGCACTGGTCAGTACTGTTATGTTGCTGAGGCTGAGCCCTAGCACTGGTCAGTACTGTTATGTTGCTGAGGCTGAGCCCTAGCACTGGTCAGTACTGTTATGTTGCTGAGGCTGAGCCCTAGCACTGGTCAGTACTGTTATGTTGCTGAGGCTGACCCCTAGCACTGGTCAGAAAGAGTATATATAAACACTATATAAAAACAAAGAGTACGAATACACGATATTATGTATACACATATATACGGAGAGTGTATATTAATCGGAGTGCGTATAAACGCTGAGTATTTATAGAGTACGTATAAACAAAGAGTACATGTAAAGAGTGAACTTGTATACACAGAGACTATTGTATGAACAGTGACTACTGTATGAACAGTAACTACTGTATGAACAAGCAGTACCGTAAATAGATGACCCGAGAGTTTCAGCACCTGTACTCTTGCACAGAGGCAAGAGTAGAGGTGCTGTTTTTATCATAAAGTCTTCAAATCATCGGAAGCCTTAAGGAACGGGAGACAGAATAAGCAACAAGGCAGAATAACTGACAGTGTGGAATGAATACAAACAGGCAGAGAACGGAGGGAAGGGGAAGGGGAAGTAGACAGTAAGACAGGGTCAAGGAACAGACCATTTCGTCTTGACCTCTTAAGTTTGTCAACCTCTGGAGAGTTGTCAAGGTCACCACAAGAGCTGTAATGACCACAACCAGTAAATATATTTTCCTGAACGCAAACCGCAGCTTAAGGTAAACTTTCAATGGGTGTACACCCACTGTAGTCGGGGTAAACCACTGGGTGCATTATACCCCTTGATAGAAAGACTTCGAAAGTGACACTCAAAAAAAAAGCAGGCAGATAGACGCTCAGACTGATGGGACGTCACGCCAGAGTGATTCATCACCGCCGTGACAGCCTATTAGAGATGGGCATCTTCCTCTCATTGTCTACTGCACTATCTGCGGACTGGGGAGGTAGGGAGGGATTGGGAGATTGGGGGAATGATTAGGTGGATCTGAGGAAATGTTCGTTTGGGAGGCTGGATAGTGGGTCCCACTAGAGGGAGGCAGGACAGTGGGGCCCACCAGAGGGAGGCAGGATAGTGGGGCCCACTAGAGGAAGGCAGGATAATGGGGCCCGAGCTGGGGAAGTGGTTGTTACTGCCCTCTGGCGGCTGTTCGAGGAGCTTGCTGGTGTTTTCCTTCTCCCCTGGTGGCAGTTTGTGGAACTTGGGCTGTGTCTCAATGGAGATAGTTCAGGAAACTAGTTTGTGTTTGCTTACTGATCTTTCCCTAAGTCGTCGCAGCTCGTATATACACCTAGGTCAGGTATATATATATATATATATATATATATATATATATATATATATATATATATATATATATATATATATATATATATATATATATATATATATATATATATATATATATGCAACAACGATTAAAAAAATACTGATCCAAGTATGTGGAAAAACCACACGTGAAAAATAGAGAATGTTAAACGCGTTTACGAAAAACGAGCCGAAAACGCGTTTAGCATTCTCTATTTTTCACGTGTGGCTTTTCCGCATACATATATGTATATGTATATATAATGTTCCGTTGGGGTGTAGAAGTTAGCAGAGTGTAATGTGTTGATGGCCTCGTCGATGGCCAGTCGTCTGTTGTCGTTGTATCTGTCGATTATTTTCTCGTTTATATATATTTTATTAAATGAATACTTTTTGACCTTAAGAAAGTGTTGGCCTTATAGAGCCGCGATGTTGGTAAGCCTTAGCTCGACACCCAACCTAATCCTGCCAGCCGATTATTTTGTTCATATGCTATCTTGAGGTTATCTTGAGATGATTTCGGGGCTTTGCGTCCCCGCGGCCCGGTCCTCGACCAGGCTTCTTTTTTGTTACACATCCCCCCATGAAGTAGCCTGTAGCAGCTGTCTAACTCCCAGGTACCTATTTACTGCTAGGTAACAGGGGCATCAGGGTGAAAGAGACTTTTTGTCCATTTGTCTTCGCCTCCACCGGGGATCGAACCTCAGGACTACGAATCCGAAGCCCTGTCCACTCGGCTGTCAGGCGCCAGTTATTCAATGCACTATTATATTCCGTTGTGGGAAAGTTATATTCTCTGGGAAGTTGCTGCTGGGAAGGAAGTTATATTCTCTGTCTCTCTCAGGTTAGGCGATAATCTAAAAGTAATGAGCTTTTGTTTGTGTCTCGTTTGAGGTGTAGCGAGTCACGACTTAACCCTTTTTGTTAGTGCAAGATTAAGCATCTTGTTGAGTGGCAGCAAGATGCAGTCATTCTGTTGTAAGGTGATTATGACCGCTTTCTTGTTATTACAAGGTACGATCTTTCTCTCGTGAGTACAAGAAACGATCTTTCTCTTATGAGTACAAGATACGATCTTTCTCTCGTGAGTACAAGATACGATCTTTCTCTCGTGAGTACAAGATACGATCTTTCTCTCGTGAGTACAAGATACGATCTTTCTCTCGTGAGTACAAGATACGATCTTTCTCTCGTGAGTACAAGATACGATCTTTCTCTCGTGAGTACAAGATACGATCTTTCTCTTGTGAGTATAAGATACGATCTTTCTCTCGTGAGTATAAGATACGATCTTTCTCTCGTGAGTACAAGAAACGATCTTTCTCTTATGAGTACAAGATACGATCTTTCTCTCGTGAGTGTAAGATACGATCTTTCTCTCGTGAGTACAAGATACGATCTTTCTCTTGTGAGTATAAGATACGATCTTTCTCTCGTGAGTATAAGATACGATCTTTCTCTCCTGAGAATAAGATATCATTCGTTAAGTGGGTTAAGAATGATTTCCCAAAGAAAACTGCTTCTTGCTCTTTACAAAATATACGAGCATGGCCGCGGCCGCCTTAGGGCTCTGCGGACGAGAATATTCAGAGTTTTAACCGAGCACATTTCGGCAGGAGCCTGACACAGGTAAGATATTATACCTTAACCCTCAGGGCGACCTCCTCGCCGTGTTTACACTCTGCCTGTAGCTTGGTTACACACCCACAAGAGGTCGAGTTTGTGTCGAGTTCTGCAAGAGTCCTCCCTTAAAATGGGTCACATAATTGTTCACTTTGGAGTTTTTATTTGAGTTGGGGAAAAGCTCTTAAAGTCTAGTCGTTTTATTGGTCATTCGTTTGTTGCTTCAACGCGTTCACTGTTGATGGCGAGTGGATGTGAACATGTTCAGCTTGATGTTACATTGCTCGAGCAAGGCTGCCGGTGTTTGTTGGGTTTGAATGGGCCAGGGTTGTGTATTTTGCCAGTGTTGGAGTTTATAGCCGTCCCTCTCCCATCCGTGTGGTCGTGGTGTGGATGCTCCACACCGTGTCACCTCTATTGGACACACCCATTTATTGTGTGTCATCCATCATGGGGGTTTAGTAACTATTAATAAAATAATGCATTGAATAACATGCATAAAAGACTAATTAAAATGGATATCAGAGATTTTTTTGTGTTCTCTGTTCATGTGTGTGGATTTTTTCTTGTTAGTGGATACTTGCTTTTTCCTGTTTTTGTAAGTAGAGGTTTTTCTTTTCTCTGTTTTTGTGAAAGAGGGAGGGGGAAGGAATTATCAGGGGGAAAGAGCCAAGCCATTACAATTATATAGCACTTGGAAGGGATCAGGATAAGGATATGTAGAACATTCTATCTGTTCTTCTAAGTGAAGATTTTTACTTTCTCTGTTATTATGTGCGTGTGGTAATTTTCCTTTACCTCTGTGTTAATTGTTACTTGCTTTCTCTTCGTCCTTGTGAATGAAGACGTGCTTTCTCTCTGTTCTTGTGAATGAAGACGTGCTTTCTCTCTGTTCTTGTGAATGAAGACGTGCTTTCTCACCGTCCTTGTGAATGAAGACGTGCTTTCTCTCTGTCCTTGTGAATGAAGATATGCTTTCTCTCTGTTCTTGTGAACGAAGCCGTGCTTTCTCCGTCCTTGTGAATGAAGACTTAATTGCTTTCTCTCCTTTCTTGTGAATGAAGACGTGCTTTCTCTCTGTTCTTGTGAATGAAGACGTGCTTTCTCTCCGTCCTTGTGAATGAAGACGTGCTTTCCCTAGGTTATACTAGCTATGCTCTATATAATTATATAAAATTAGAGAATTCATTATCCTTCTGAACGTATCTACCCAAGTTTTCTCGCCTTATTTAGTAAGGCATATTTCTCTCAGTTTCAAAACAATTACATCAGGCTCCGCTCATTCCCTGGAATAGTTTGAACTATATTTTGAAGTGCACTACAAAAAACGACTGACCCGCTGAAGTGATTAAGAATGATATTATTACTAATTTTATTTGTAAATAGTTTAAATGTGTTAAAGATCTGAATTATGCTTAATGAATGTTAATTAGAGAGTAAGTCCAGTTAGAGTTTTGGCCAGAAAACTTTATAGACTTTAAGTCCTGCTGGACTTCGTCTATTAAGGTTGAGGCTAAAGATGGAGTTTAGGTCCAACCCTGTGAGTGTGTGGTCGTACTTTGTGAGTGTGTGGTCGTACTTTGTTTTTAATCTATCCCCAGTGTGGTGTCTTGCCTATCCCAGCGTGGTGACAGGTCTAACCCCTTGTCCTGTCTGCCTTACAG